TAGATGAAGTTAACAACTGTCATCAATAATAGGAAAGCAATGTTGAAATGTTTTCTGGTGAGTTGATATAACCCTGTTAGTGACAAGAAGAGCCCATGTTAAGTAAGTTTTATTTAGAGTAAAGTATGTAAGGAATTTCATTTCTAAATAGATAAACTTTTTTGGTTGTTTTTTTAGCTTTAACAATGTAAAAAAAAAGAATTTAAAATATTAGAACTTCTCAGATTGCATAAGTAATCAAACACAAAAGAATTTTAATTTCTAATTTAAAATGTGATTATTGGTCAGTAAAATCATGCTAAAAATAGATTTTTCTTAATGTACATCAAAGAGGATGACTTTTGTTCTTGACTTGGACCCCATCTGACCAATTGCTCAAAATTTTTTCATATGGACTATACTGTGTAGCATTTACAAGAAAAAGAATATGAATTAGCCTGGTGAGCAGCAAATAGAGGTAGTTTTTGTGAAACCTGAGTTGTGTTAACCAGCAATCAAATGTGATCTTCATTTTAATATTTATATATTATCTTGTTATGAACCTATCTTTAACATGGGTTTTATTTTATTTGTTTCTCTCCTCTTACTTCTGTGAAAAGCAGAAGGAAAAGGATGTTTGTTATTCATACATTTGTGTCCCCACTAACTGCTGTTACACATCTGGCTTCCACTGGAGAGCCCCTGACATCGCAGGGAACGGTGATCAAAATTCCACACACTAGCTTCATGCTGGGGGCTCGTAGCTACTGCAGCATTGAAAGGGGATCTTTTTCCTGGCTTCTTTAAAATAAGCATGGTGATGGGATGGTTTAAGGGAAGAACACCTCTCAAATCACATGACCACTGCTGTGCTTCCGTGTGTCCTGCTTTCTTCATAACAGCTTGGCACTACATTCTTTCCCTGTATCTTGGTGGGCTTGTTTGTGTATGAGTGGGGTAGAGGGTAAAAGGTAAATGGATGAGTATACTTTATGCATGCTTCTTTCACTGTTGTTAGAGTGATGTGCCTACCCTTATATGTCACAAACTATGATCACATGAAATCTGTGTCCTGAGAGATTGAGCCATCTCTCCCTTTTTGGTGTGAAATTTATGTTTTAGTGTGTTTTTATGTCTATATTCTCAGTTGTCCTTCATGTCACATTAAACATAAGTTGAAAGTTCTCCCATAAGAGTTAGCTTTTCATGTTGGGCTGAAAAAAAATCTTGATTTCCGTGTAGCAGTTCATGTTATTATAACCTATGGCTTTCAATTGTACCTCCCATAATGAAGAGCTGACTTTAAACACTGTGCTATTCTTATTATGACCTAAGCATAAGGTAAGTGATTTCTCTAACTGTATTTAAAAATTGTGGTTCTTTGTTAAAATGTTCTCAGCTTTTTTTTAAGGCATTTTCATTTTTCTTCCTTACCATTTATTATGTGCTTTCCTCCCTTTTGTTTTCTGTTTCATATCTTAATATTTCCTAATGGACAAAGTGATTTTCAGCAAAAATTATATGTAAACATATGTTGAAATGAATTATTTGATGCCTCAAAGCACTCTTGATTAGCAAATAAATACTGGTGTTTTCAGTAAGTCTCTTATGTTTTTTATTTCCTCCATTGACTTTAATATAATGTACTATATCTACATGTTATTTTAGTTTTGATTCCAATTGAAAGGGGAATTTTTTTGTCAGCACCATAAAATCAGTCAGATATTAACTGTAGTAAAAGAACATGACCCAAAAGAAAATAGTATTGAGTAATCTTATACTATACCCTTCATTTAGTCCTTCATTTTAATCCCTGACAAATTTGATATTAGGCCAAAATCTCAGGGTTTTGGTTTGGTTTTGTTTGCTTTTCAGACTTTCCTTTTTCCCCCCACTGATTAAAGCCAGTGTAACATAAAGAAAAAAAAAAATAACAACGAACCATAAAACTTAAGACAGACCAATGTGTTTCCTTCCTTATAGTTCCTAGATGTGAGAACAAGAGTAATAGTTGCTTCTTTATTCTTTCAAGTAAATCCCATTACATTATGAGCATATAAAAAGATTTTATGAAATTAAGTAATTTTTATAAATATGATCAGGTTCATAGTATATCATTTGCTGAATGCATAAATGATAAAGTTTTTTAAAGAAGAATTTTCCTCGTGCTTTTCTAAATATATATGTGCTAAAATCACTGAAGTAAACAAAATTTCATAATCATTAATTTTCAAAGTGATTTCCCTCAAGCCTATAATCCCAGCTACTCGGGAGGCTGAGGCAGGAGAATTGCAATTTTGAGACCAACCTGGGCAACTTAATGAGACCCTGTCTCAAAATAAACAATGAAAATGGCTGTGGATGTAGCTCAGTGGTAAAGTACCCCTGTTCAATCCTCAGTATATACATACATACATGCACATATTTTAAGTGATTTCCCTCAAATCTGGCTATATAGCTAATGTAACATAAATGAGAAAACATTGGTTCTACTACTCTTGGCATATTACAAACCCTGATAAATGCTCATATTCAGAGAATTGAATTGTTTTCACCATCCAAATGTCTCCTCTAAAGCTATTTGGAAAAAATAATTCTAAACTGGATTGTCACAAAGCAATACAGGTTTATTAAATTCATGTTATAAATGATTTCTTTGTTATTTAATTTTTAAGCCACCTAGGGGAGAAGAGGGTATTATGTTGTTGTTTTGGTTAAAAAAAAAAAAAACAGCTGGTTCTTCACCACCATTTCCATTATATACATTATCTAATGTATATAATTAACATTATGTAAATCTGTTGGAACATTTTATGAGACATTTTAACTACTCATCTGAACTGCTCTGTTCATTGTAAATCTCTTGTTTCTATCCATACACTAGCTCCACTCTAGATTGGAAGGGCTTAAAGATGAACTCTGGAGGAATAGAGGCTTCGACTTAAGAGTAACTATTACTGATCAAAGGAGCTACTTTCCATTCGCAAACATTGCTTTGTGCTATGGATTTGGGCTCCTTCTGTTTCACATCTTGTTGAAGACTTTCTTGACTTCCATTTGACTTCTTTAAACTGTTTTTTGTCTTTCAACATTTTCCTCTTTCTTTTCTTTCTCTCTCCCAGATTTTTCTCTCACACTTTTAGCTTTCTCTTGTGTTCTTTGAATCACTTTTTAAAAAGTAGTTTCTCTCTTTATTAAGCTTGTCTATTAATTTGTTTGTTAGTATATGTTTCTTTTCTCCTTTAAAGCTGTAGTGGTATAGTTACACTTATTTTCATTCCATAGTATGGTAACTTGCTTATTTCTTTTTTAGCAAGTTAATTAGTCATTCTTACCCTCTTGGTATGAATTTTTAGTAAGAAATTAGCAGAACATTTTCCATTTACATATTGTCCCCTTCTATTAACCCATACCTTCTTTTCTATTATCTAGATTTACTCTCTCCACCTCTCTTTCTTCCTTTTCTTTTTGTCATTTTCTCTGTATTTCTTTTTTCCTTAAGATTCATTAATTTCTTTCCCATTTGGTCCAGAATTGTTCTTCAATTAGACTTCTGAGTAGAAGAATATAAGAGTTTCATCTTTCTGATCAGCTTCTTCATTATAGTTTATTTAAAACTAGTAAAAACAATCTGGGCCAAAAGAGAATAACTTTAACATTTGAAATTATTTTCTCTCTCTTTCTTTCTTTTTTTTCTTTTTTTTGTGTGTGTGTATGTGAGTGTGATTTTTCTCCCTACCCTCCCATCCCCCGTCTGTATTTTGTGACATTTTTTATTGTTATTTCTTTAAACATTAACAGTTTTTTTCAGGGGAGGACAACCATAACCCACCCTAAGTTACAACATTCCTTTCATAAGTTGTTTCATATAATAGTAGATTGCTTTAAGCTATAGAAATTAATTTGTTGTGTACATATCCACTTGGGGCAAGCTCCTGTGGAGTGGGAAAAAGAGGTATAGAGCTTTAATACAGTTATATCTAACATTAACAACAATGTTAATGCCATCCAACATGGTCCTTGAATGTTTTGAAACCTTTAAAAGAATGTTTCACTTTGACCTGAATATTGAGTCAGAACATAGGGTTTTTTTTTTATTAAATTAGAAACATAATTGAGAGCTGACAAATAAATGAATTAATTAATTTTCAATAGAAGCATCTTTTATAACCAACATATAATTATAATAAATTATTATAATCAACAAATCACAACAGTTATTAAATCAATGGTAAATGTTGTACATGAGGATTTTTCAATTTCCCCTCATTAACATATATATAATAACTACAATAGAATGTTTTACTTTATTTCTTGAATTATATCATTACTCTGATCAAGAGATATGCTAAATGCTTTAAAATTAAAGATCAGTATTCACAACTATGAAGTAACTTTAATTTTTTCATATATATTCATTCCTCAGTATTCTTGGGGAAAGAGTTTCAAAACCCTCATGGATAGCAAATTCTACTACTCAAGTCTTTTATATACTGTGGCATAGTATTCACATATAACCTATGCAATCTTCCCATATACTTTAAATCATCTTTATATTACTTATGATACCTAATACAGTATACATACTACATAAATATAATTGTTATACTGTATTGATTAGGGAATAATGACAAGAAAAAAGTCTGTATATGTTCAGTACAGATAGTTTTTTATATATATTTCTGGTTTATAGTATATTGAATTCATGATGTGAAACCAGTGATTATGGAGGTCCAACAATATTGATTTCAAATACACATTAACAAAATATTACCTTTGGTTTTATCTCTGTCCAGTTTGTAATACTGTGCCTGCAGTTTTTTCTGGAAGTCAGTCTTTACATAAAGTAAGGATGAATTAAGATATATATGGAACAAATGTAACATTTTTATTAATATGCTATAAAATCTGAGATATATGAAACCTTTGCTCCTAGACTTCAGGAGCTTGCCCGTTGAATTTGCATATTTGGCCATTTATATTATAAGCTCTGAATTACTGAGTTTATGCTCTCTCTGCAGGTCCAGTCCAGGTGCAGCAGCAAAGAGAACATTCTCAGAGCCAGTGAGTATTTCATCATTTGTGGCAGGCTACTGAACTAGAAATTATGGTTCAACAGAAAATAAAGCTAAAAATAACATTTTGATTAAAGAATGAAGAAGAGCAATAAGAGAAGTTTGTATCAATATGAATATTCAGTTTTTTATCTTCTAAAAAATATTAATATCACTATTAAATGAATATTTCTTTAATCCAATTGATTTTCAGCAGAACATTGATGCATTTCTAATAGGTAGAAACGAACTCCGCTCTGACCTTAAGATGATACCCCCTTTAATTGCTTCACTGACACAAAGTTATTTGAAAACAGACTGCCTAAAAATAATAGTGAAGTAAATCCATAAAAGGAGGCTAACTTAAAAAAAAAGAATATATGTGACTTTTAAGAGGGTACATGATAATCATTTTGTGAATATGAATTCCTGAGAGATTTTACCTTCAACAGGCAAAATGTTTTTGTGGGGATTTTTTGTTTGTCTGTTTTTCAGTACTGGGGATTGAACCCAGGGCCTCGCACATTCTAGGTAAGTGCTACTTGCCTATCACTGAGCTATATCCTCAACCCTTTTTTTGTTGTTGTTTTTTAGAGATTTTTGTTTTTTATTTTGGGGTTTTTTTGTTTTGTTTTGTTTTTTGGGTGTTTGGGGGTTTTCTGTTTGTTTTTTGTTGGTTTTTTTTTTTTGAGACAGGGTCTAGCTAAGTTGTCCAGACTGCCCTCAAACTTGGAATCCTCCTGCCTCAGCTTTTCTAGTAGCTGAGATTACAGGTGTACATCACTGTGCCTGGCAGGTATAATGTTTTAAAATGTAGTATCCTGAAACAATAGTAAAGCATCCTTATTTTGCTTTTTGGTTTGATCATTAATTGGATTAAATTAACAGTCATTTAATTTTGTATATTATTCATTTTCCTATTTTATAAAAATAAACTACAAATAGCTTTTCCTTTACTATGTCCTGTAATTATGTCATATTGAAAGTTTTCCCATAATTGTTTTGGGCTCTCAGGATAAAACTCTGGATAAATGATAATTATTTTACAATTGTTTTCTGTTACTTAATAGCTTACTGACATCATCCCATATTTTTCCTAATCTTTATCAAGAGAAGTACAAGTGGTCCACACTGAAATGGGTCTACAGGATACCTACACTATTGGGAGTTTTAGCAAATGGAATGGCTTATATTTCTTATAGAGTATCAGTATTATTTCACAATCAGATAGTAATTGGAGAATTTCAAATGGGTAAAAATCTGTTTTATTCTCATTTCTGTATTGTAGATCTGTTAACTTAGCTCCAAACACTTGGACAATTACCCACATTGTAATTGTTTTCTAAAGACCTTTATATTGTTTACTTATTAAATTTTAAAAATAATAAATTTAAATATTAGATTTTTTATTTTGAAAATAAATGCAGGGCTTTGGGTATATCTTATGATGGAATGTTTTCCTAGCATGTGAGAGGCCCTGGGTTTAAATTGCCCAGCACCCACAAAAGTAAAGGAATAATTAAATAAATAAAACAAGAATGTTTAATATTATCCTTTCACAAGTTTTCACTTGTATCAATGTGAATATTCAGTTTTTTACCTTCTAGAAATAAGTGACAGATAAGTGATGTATTAAATCCCACAATCCCTAATACCTTAGTTTGAGAAATCTAAGGGTCGGAAGAACAATGATTGAAAGTTCACTAAAATTAAACAATACAGATAATTAACTTTAAAGCAACATTTTCTGATGATCAGTGTATAATTTCCATTTATTGTTGATCCTGAAATGGAGATGAGCCATGGGTGGTGCTTCTGGTAACTAAAGACAAAAATTGTTTCTTACTGATGAAAGATTCTTTGGAACTTTCTTTCACTTCTACCATGGCTCTTTGGGTTGTTAGAAATGTCTTTCATTTCAATAATTCTGTTACTGGCTTGTTGGCTAACAATCACTTTGGATGGATGGACATCATGATTGTTCAATTTTTTTCCTATCCTATTTTCTTAGGATGAAATAGTCATGTGAATGGCTCTGATTGCCTCTTAGTTCCATTTAGGGAGCCTCTTCAACATCATAATGCATAGTTTTATGAGTTCTGTAGGTTTATGGTCTTTTCTTCCAATTCCATGTTGACTCATATCTATACCTGTGGCCACACCCAAACCTTTCAGCACCATAAGCTGTTCTTCGTGAAAACTTCTTAATACCCCCATTGCTTATTTAGGCTATTTTTATTTCCCCATTTTTCTTCCTTTGCCATGAGCTACCATATTGCAGTTCTATAGAATCTATCAGTAATTCTTCACTTTTTCAGTGCGAATTTCTGCTTCTGTTACTTTGAGAATTTTCCCCCTAATAAACTGTCTATTCCCTTGTTTTCTTGGAAAACGCTTACTTACTCATTTAGAGTCAGCTCAGGTATGATTCTTTGATGATATCTCTGAATTTCCTATGTTCAAGGGGATGAATTCTTCTTATTCCTTCACTTTCTTTTTTCACTTATTTACTGAATTAACTATCCTCAAGTAAGACATTTCCAATTGTAACCAACATAAAGAAAAGTATAATCAGCTTTTCAACATATATCAAAATGTGATAGCACAATATATCAGTTGATCCTAGAAAAAGGAAAAAAGTTAGAACTTAATAGAATTTATCTATATCATTTAATAAAGATATAACTTTGGGTGCTGGGGTTGTGGCTCAGTGGTAGAGCACTCGCCTAGCACATGTGAGGCCCTGGGTTCAATCCCCAGTACCACATAAAAATAAATAAATAAAGATATTGTGTCCAACTACAATTAAAAAATAAATATTAGAAAGAAAAAGAGATAACTTTGGTAACTTTGTCAAAGGAAGAGTCACTTTGACTCCTTAAAAATGGTTTCAGTAATGAAAAAACTGAGTTTATTCTTATTGTAGTAAGGGAGTCTTAGTCTTGAAGTCAGACTCTAGGGAAGGAAAGGATAAGATCAGGATATTTACAAGATTTTGAAGTTCCGATTAAAGCAGTATGGAGTCTTGATTAGCACTGGATAAGGATCATAATATAATCATTCAGGATTGATGGTAAGAGCAAGGCAAGCAGTTTGTAGTCTTGGTATATAAACTGTCTTTTGATAGTTTTCATTTAAGAGTTGATGAATTGTTCCAAAAGTTTCTAGGATGAACAATAAGGTTATTTACAACTGTTATCTTCAGAGGAAGAGTTTTCTGGTATCATAAAGTTGAGTTGATAAAGACAGAGGAATAATAATGTTATGCTAATGAAGATAGTAAGCTTCGAATTTATAGATGGTTTCAGGTACCAGAGTTCCCTTATGATCATTCTTCAGCTTGAGCTAAAAGATAGGCTATTAACATCTAGGAATGTGATCAGTCCACATCTTCACTCCTACTTGAAGTATCACAATAGTATATGAAGTGTCTTGGGAATGCAGATGAAATATGAAGTTTTTCAGTTTCATTGTTGGATGATCATTTATTGAATCATCTAATGAGAGAGCAGTTGTATAGTAGCATTTAAGACTGTGGATATCACACATCTGAGTCATGTTACACAAATGTGAAAAATATTATGGTCAGAATTTATGATCTTTTTCTTAACCAGGAGCCAGGAGAATCTAAAGCTAAAAAAATAGAACTTCATCCCCAATCTGAGCAACCAACCTATAGAATAAGATTTAGGCTAAAGTGGAACCTGGATAATGTCCAGGAATCTCCTAAAAGCACAAGCATCAGTTTGCCAAGATAATGTATTTCTGTCCAAGTGGGTACCATGGCACATGCCTCTAAACCCAGATTCTTGGGAGGTTGAGGAAAGAAGACAGCACATTTGAGGTCAGCTTTGACAATTTAGCAAGACCCTGTTTGAAATGCAGACGGGGGTGGGAGGAGATAGGAATATAGATCAATGGTAAAGCATCCAGGATTCAATCCCTAGTACCAAAACAAAGAAACAAAAATAAGTTCATGTTGAGTTTGCATGTAGTAGTCAAAAATTTTATACTGCAAATCCAATACCAGCTACTGGGAGATACCTGGGAATTATTTCTGGCCAAAATACCCCTGGAGCCTGTCAGATATGTTCTAACATTTTGTTGTTGCTCATTTGTGCTAAATAGAACATTTTATAGTGGTAATATCATTATGCAGATCTAAAACAGAAGAGAAGTACTTGTAAGATCTATAAAAATAAGATAGCCTACAAATGATATACCTTTGTTTTCTAGTTCTCTTGTTCTCGTTCTCTCTCTCTCTCTCTCTCTCTCTCTCTCTCTCTCTCTCTTTTCTTGTAGCAAGGATTGAACCTCAGCATTTTTTTTTTAATTCTGAGACAGAGTCTCACTAAGTTGCTTAAAGCCTTGCTAAATTGCTGAGGCCAGTTTTAAACTCACTGTCCTCCTGTCTCAGCCTCCCAAGCCACTGGGATTACAGGCATTTACCACCACATCTGACACTAGTTCTCTCTCCTTTTTTTTTTTTTTTTTTTCAGTTTTTAGGTGGATACAGTATCTTTATTTTGTTTTTATGTGGTGCCAAGAATCTAACCCAGTACCTCATGTACACTGGGCAAGCACGCTACCACTTGAGCCACATCCCCAGCCCCACTAGTTCTCTTATTAGTTCTATTTCTGTTAAAGTTTAGTTACAAACATCAGTGGAGATAAGAACCTCCTATTTTAGGACTGAGCTCATAGGGGATTTTGGATTTCCATCTCTCTGGCTTATTAGCGCATTGTCATCTGAAAATTCACCTAGTAGTTGAACCAAAGCAACAAATTGATTCATTTCAAGGAAGTGGAACCTAAGGAATTAGTGTGGCTATAAAAAAGTGTGCAAAAACAGATACAAAAAATTATGGTTGATTCCTTTAACCAGTTCACAACTAAATAACAAAGTATTGGACACTTGCTAGTGAATGATTAAGGATACAAAGAACAATATTAAGAATATGGAAATATATACAGCATATATATTAATTTGGGATTAAATTTCAACCTGGA